AATGATCATTAAAGCGGCACAGTGGCTTAGTGGTTAGCACGTCTGCCTTGCAGTAAATGGGTCATGTGTTCGATTCCCGACCATGGCGCCTCCTGCATGGAGTTTGCATGTTCTCCCTGTGCTTGCGTGGGTTTCCTCCGGGTGTTCCGGTTTCCTGCCACACTCCAAAGACATGCTGGTAGGTTAATTGGATCCTGCCTAAAATTGGCCCTAATATGTGTATGTATGAATGTGAGTTAGGGACCTTAGATTGCACACCCCTTGAGGGTTAGGGACTGATGTGAATGTGCAATGTATATATGTAAAGCGCTACGTAAATTGACAGCGCTATATAAGTATCTGAAATTAAAAATAAGGCTCCTTTCACACTGATGCGGCGCTGTTTGACCACACCAAGGGACGGACTGACCATTTGGAAACTCGGGCACTGCCTGAGGGCCTGGGGTCAGTAAGGGGCCCCATGAGATGCCCCTGGTACCTTTTTCATAGGCTTTTTTGAGTTTGGGCAAGGACACGGGCCCCATGATCCCCTATTGCCCGGGGGCCCCATGAGTTGTCAGTCCGCCCCTGACCACACCGCGGGTGTAGCGCAGTGTAGAGTTCTATTATGCCTTGCAGATTTTGTGCACTTACTTTACTGTCAAGTAAAGAAAACATTTTTATCCATCTTGATTCTGAACAATTTCACCATCTTGCAGTCCAGGCCAATTTTCTGATTTTAGCACTGTCACATTTTGAATGACAATTACTCAGACATGTAACACTGTACCCAGTTTAAATTTTAATCATTTTTTTTTTAGACAGAGCTTTCTTTTGGTGATATATAATCACCACTGGCCTTTTTTTTTTTTTTTTTGCTATACAAATGTAAAAATACAGAAAAATTTGAAAAAAACACATATTTATTAGTTTTTGTTATAACATTTTGAAAATAATCTTTCTTCAAAAATTTAAGCCAACATGTGTTCTGCTACATTTTATGGTAAAAATAACTAAAAACTGTGTATATTATTTAGTCCGTATGAAAGTTACAGAGTCTACAAACTATGGTATTGAAAATTGATCAGTACTGATGTACTGACTGCCTGTCTCATTACTTGAGACCCTAAAAAGCCAGGATTGTACAAATACCCCCCAAATGACCTCTTTTTTTTTTTTTTTTTTAAAGTAGCCAGTTCAAAGTATTTAGTAAGAGGCATGATGAGTTTTTTTAAGTTGTAATTTTTGTGACGATTTTTTGGAAAGTAAGAAAAATTTTAAAAATGTATTTTTTTTTCTTTACAGAGTTATCATTTCTCACACACAGAATAGGCATACTTAGAATTACACTCCAAAACACATTCTGCTATGCCTGCTGAGTATGAGAATACCACATGTTTGAGACATTTTAACAGCCTAGATGCAATGAAGGCTCCAAAATCCAAGGAGCACCTTTAGGCATTCCAGGGGGCAATAATTACGCATTAATTGCGCATCTAATTTCCTGACTACCTATCACATATTTAGAGGCTCTGGAGCACCAGGACAGAGGAAAGACCCACAAAATTACCCCATTTTGGAAAGCAACCACTCCAAGATATTTTCTAAAAGGCATAATGAGTCTTTTGAAAATGTATTTTTTTGCCACAAGTTTTTGGAAAATGTAGGGAAAAATGAAATTTTTTTTTTTTTCTTTTTATGCAAGGTTGTCAATTATTAAGATATTTCTAACAAACAGCATAGACATATTTAGAAATACACCCTAAAACACTTTCTGCCACTCCTCCCAAATGTGGTGATACCACATGTGCGATTTTTTTACATCCTAGCCACACAGAGGGGCCTAAAATCCAAGGAGTATCTTCAAACTTTCTAGGGGCATAAATTACGCATCTAATTTCCTTACTACTGATCACATTTTTGGAGGCCCTAGAGAACCAAGACAGTGGAGACAAGTGGGTACCCAATTGTGCTCAGTTGCTACTCGTACTGGTATGGCTGTAATCAGGATGCTGGTATGGGATATGATCATGATCAGGATGCTGTTATGGGGTATGACAGTGATCAGGACGCTGGTATGGGGTATGACAGTGATCAGGACGCTGGTATGGGGTATGGCGGTGCTGGTGATCAGGATGCTTGTATGGTATATTGTGGAAATCAGGACTCTAGTATAGGGTATGGCGGTGATCAGGATGCTGGTGACCATGACATTCTTGTTTTTGACATGGGGACAGCAATATATTTGCTCATTGCATACTCAGCCTTCTGCTCTTGCATGGGAAGTCTGTAAGTTGGCTAATTCATTGGAAGCAATGTGTTAATCTATGTGGCTGATATTTATTAGATTTGTTACAGGTACTTATATAGCGCAGCGCTTTACATACAGTGGATATACAAAGTCTATACACCCCTGTTAAAATGTCAGGTTTATGTGATGTAAAGAAATGAAACAAGGATAAATATTTTCAGAACTTTTTCCCCCTTTTAATGTAACCTATACAGGGATGTTCCATTTATATCGCCTGACGCCCAGGATAGGTAGATTTTATTTTTTAACCTCTAGCCCTGCTGTGCGTAAGCAGCAGGGCTCACCTTTCAGGTGGAAGCATTCAGGCGGCAGTGCTGCCGCCGATTGCTTCCACACAGAGCCAGCCTCCCCCCACATGAGGTCTCCCGGGCTCTGCTTGCCCATCTGCGTGCCTAGAACCGGCTCACTTCCCTCGGCTAGAGGGGAGGAACGAGAGCGGACACATCCGCTCCCATCCCCTTCTTATCCTGACCCAGGTGTCACAATATTTAACTTCCGGGTCACTGTTGACAGATTCCCGACCATGGAGGCCGGGAAAGAATGTAATGCAGTGCTATGTGCACTGCATTACATTCAGTGGAGTACAGGGGAGACATGCAGGGTCTTTTACCTTGGATGTCTCAGTAAAGAGAACCTGTCACCAAAACTCATCACATAGGGGAATTTTTTTTTAATGTAAAAAATGAACGTTCCACCCAAGCACATAACCTTCCCCCCCCCCAAAAAAAAAATTGAGGCCCACCCCACATGAACGTAAAACGTCAATTGCGATACAACGTTAATTGCGATACAGTTACATATCACCATGCACGCTAGAATGAGAGCAATAATTCTAGCGTGAGACCTCCTCCATAAAACTGTACTGATGACCTATAAGGGGCTTTAAAAGTGTCGCCTATAGAAAATCTAGGCTACTGAAGTTCGTCGTCATTTCACGAACACACACAAATTTAAGGTTTGGCATGTTGGATATCTATTTACTCGGTGCAACCTCATCTTTTATATTTTACAAAAAAATAAGGTTATGTATTGCTTTTTTTTGTGCCCTAAAATTAACGTATTTTTTACTTAAATTTTGCGGTAATATCATGCAACATAAAAAATTGGAACTACAGCTATTTTATTTTCTAGGGTCTCTGCTTTCAGAAAATATATCATGTTTGGGGGTTTTATGTAATCTTCAGGCCTAAAATTATTTTTTTAAACGTGCAAAAAATGCAAAAATGGCTCTAGCAGCGAAAGGGATAGAGGATAAGCCGGACACTCCCCTTCCCTGACGAGTACCCAATCAGTACTCATTACACTGCAAGGTCTCTCCCCTCCCTGCTAGTCCCCGGCTGTGGTGCTGGAGACAGGCAGGGAGGGGAGCAGTGCAATGTCAAAATTATTACACAGTTAAGTCGCCATAAAGCCCCTTTTGTTTTTAAAAAAGCCCCAACCATTCCTAAAATCACCACCGATTTAAATACGGTTTTGGTTAAAAAAAAATATTATCTGGTGAAGTAGATTGTCATGAGGAGTTCTAACTGAAGAAAAAACAGCCCCAAAGTATGATGCTGCCACCACTGTGCTTCACTGTGGCTATGGTGTTCTTTTGGTGATGTGCAGTGCTGTTTTTGCGCCAAACATATCTTTTGGAATTATGGCCAAAAAGTTCAACCTTGGTTTCATCAGACCATAACACATTTTCCGGCATGCTTTTGGGAGACTTCAAATGTGTTTTTGCAAAATGTAGCCGGGCTTGGATGTTTTTCTTTGTAAGAAATGTCTTCCGTCTTGTCACTCTACCCCATACTCCCAGACGTATGAACAATACGGGCGTTTGTTGTCACGTACCACACAGCCAGTACTTGCCAGATATTCCTGAAGCTCCTTTAATGTACTGTAGGCCTCTTGGCAGACTCCCAGACCATTTTTCTTCTCGTCTTTTCATCAATTTTGAAGGAGCGTCCAGTTCTTGGTAATGTCACTGTTGTGCCATATTTTCTCCACTTGATGATGACTGTCTTCACTGTGTTCCATGGTATATTTAATGCCTTGGAAATTATTTTGTACCCTTCTCCTGACTGATATCTTTTGACAGTGAGATCCCTTTGATGCTTTGGAAGCTCTCTGCGGACCATGGCTTTTGCTGTAGGATGCGACTAAGAAAATGTCAGGAAAGACCTACTATTATTATAAAGGATTTATATAGTGCCAACAGTTTTGCCAATATAAGGGAGACCATACAATTACAATATATTTCAGTACAGAAGAAATATGAGGGCCCTGCAGAAGAGAACAGAACAGCTGAACTTTATTTGGGGTTAATCAGAGGCACTTGAAATAATGGCAGATGTGTTCTGACTCCTATTTAACATGATTTTGAATGTGATTGCTTAATTCTGAACACAGCAACATACTCAGTTATAAGAGGGTGTGCACACTTATACAACCGCATTATTTTAGTTTTTTGTTTACTCCCCCCACTAAAATATTTTAGTTGTTTTTCAATTGAGTTGTACAGTTTATAGGTCACATTAAAGGTAGAAAAAGTTCTGAAATTATTTATATTCCTCTCATGTTTTTACATCACAGAAACCTGACATTTTAACAGGAATGTATAGACATTTTATATCCACTGTGCATTATAATGCCAAACGTATTGGGACACCCCTCCAAATCATTGGATCCAGGTATTTCAATCACCTCAATGGTCACAGGGTTAAAAATCAAGTACCTAGGCATGCAGACTGTTGTACAAACATTTGTGAAAGAATGGTTTGCTCTCAGGAGCTCAGTGAATTCAAGCATGGTACCGTGATAGGTTGCCATCTATACAATAAGTCCATCCCTGAAATTTCTTTGCTATTAAATTATCCACGCTCAGCTGTTAGTGGTATTATAACAAAGTGGAAGCAACTGGGAACAATAGCAACTCCACCACAAAGTGGTAGGCTACATAAAATGACAGAGCGGGGGTCCGCTAATAGTGTGCAGAAGTCGTCAACTGTCTGCAGAGTCAATAGCTAAAGACCTCCAAACTTTGTGTAGCTTTCAGATTAGCACGACAACCATGCATAGAGAGCTTCATGGAATGGGCTTCCATGACCGAGCAGCTGCATCCAAGTCTTACATCACCAAGTGCAATGCAAAGCATCGGATGCAATGGTGGAAAGCACACCGCCACTGGACTCTAGAGCAGTGGAAACATGTTCTCTGGAGTGACGAATCTTGCTTCTCTGTCTGGCAATCCGATGGACGTGTCTGGGTTTGGCGGTTGCCAGGGAAAAGGTACTTGCCTGACTGCATTGTGCCAAGTGTAAAGTTTGGTGGAGGGGGGGTTATGATGTGGGCTTGTTTTTCATGGTTTGGGCTTGGCCCCTTTGTTCCAGTGAAGGGAACTCTTAAGGTGTCAGCATACCAAGACATTTTGGACAATTTCATGCTCCCAACTTTGTGGGAACAGTTTGGGGATGGTCCCTTCCTGTTCCAACATGACTGCACCAGTGCACAAAGCAAGGTCCATAAAGACATGAATGAGCAAGTTTGGGGTGGAAGAACTTTACTGGCCTGAACAGAGTCCTGACCTCAACCCGACAGAAACACCTTTGGGATGAATTAGAGCGGAGACTGCGATCCAGGTCTTCTCGTCCAACATCGGTGCCTGACCTCACAAATGCACTTCTGCAAAAATGGTCAAGAATTCCCATAGACACACTCCTAAATCTTGTGGACAGCCTTCCCAGAAGAGTTGAATCTGTTATAGCTTCAAAGGGCAGGCCAACTCAGTATTTGAACCCTACGGACTAAGACAGGGATGGCAGTGTGTGTAAAGGCAGGCATCCTGATACTTTTGGCAATATAGTGTATATTGCCAGAAATGCCAGGGGTGTTTTTCAAAATGATTTCTCAGCAAAATAAAGCAAGGAGACATGGATGGATGGGGCGGGGGAGTTTGCTTTGAATATTACATGTGAATTAAATAGCATTTTTGGTTTCTGATGCTCAGATGCAGTGCAGTTCCACTTTAAGGTCTGGAAGATTTTACGCCCTTCATGACTAGGCCATTTTTTTTTTCTATTCAGCACTGTGATAATGCAACTGTGCAGTCATGCAACATTGTACCCAAATTAAATTTATATCATTTTTTTTCACACAGAGCTTTCTTTTGGCGGTGGTTTTGATCACCACATAGTTTTTTTTTTTTTTATTATTATATCAATGGAAAAAAAGCAAACTTATATAAAAAAATTATTTTTACTTTCTGTTATAAAACATATCCAATATAAAAAATTTTTAAATCAAAATTTTTCATAAATTGTGTCATTTACCAAAAATGTCTTTGGTAAATGAAAACAAAATCCCATAAGTGTATGTGGTTTGCATGACATTTATTGCATTTACAAACCCTGGGATATATACTGCAATTTTTATTTATTTTTTATACTAATAATGGTGGAGACTTATAGTGGGACAGTGATGGTGTGGTGGACAATTTTGACACTAACTGATACTGACATCACCAGTGACACTAATACAGTGATCAGTGCTAGTACTTTACACTGTCACTGTACTGGTAAAAGGTTAACATCTAGGACCAATCAAAGGGTTAACTGTGTGCCTAAGTGTGCAGATTGCTGCTGTCTGTAAAGAGCTATGTGGTGTTTGTCAACACAGAGCTCTGTTCTGTCATTTTTTCACCGATGAGCAAGTCCCAGCCATAAGTCATTGACTGGGACCTGCTGATCAGCTTGTGCTGTAACGAATGACAGCATAGATAGGGTGGCGGGTATGCACGTGTCCCTGTCCCTTGTTAGGAATGCCAGATTACGTACATGTACATGATCTAGTGCAGAAGAGCCTCCGGCCCGCACTATATCTGCATGGGCTGGTCAGTAACTAGTTAATGAGAAAATTAATTTAAACAACTGTAGTATCAGGCTGCAACATAACAAAATTGAAAAAAGTGAATGGTGTCGGAATACCTACTGAATTAACTGCATACAACAATATTTTTAATAATAATTTTGCAAGTAGCTGATTTTCAGAATTAAAGTAAAAAGTAAAATCAGCTTGTCCAGAACAATTGCAATAAATGCAGAAAGGTCCCCAGGTATAGCACATGAGGACCACCACTCATGCAAGTTTAGCCAGTTGTCCATGTACACAATGGGGTTCCCTCTCATGCTGTGGAGTTTGCCTTGTGCTCAGTGATAGGGAAGCTAACAAGCTTTCAGCATTTGTGTAAAAGGAGCGGAGTTGATCTATAAGTCAATAGCTTTCCTGGCAGGGGAGGCATTGAATTGAGCAGGGACTACGATGTCGATGTATGCAGACACTAAAGTCTCTGTTAATTTTATCTCATTGTAAAGCCAATGCTTCTCTTTACACTCATGTGTATTGAGCTATTGCAATATTTCTGTAGCCATCATATAATACGTTAAGTGAGCTTCAGGAACATGCAGTGAATGCTGCTTTTGTTTGTTTTTTGGATGATGAGACCTTTAAGTCTGACCAGAAAAGGATGGGTAAGTACTGGAATTCTGACTCATGTAAGCAAGTTCAGATGATACTCAGAATCCTCCTATCCATAGATAGCCTAAATGTGTGTCCCTTTGTCTTTTTTTCTTCAAAGCTAATGAAAAGTTTTCAGGAGCAAAAGCCTGAAGTAAGCAAGAAAGCCCAGCTCATTTTCATTAGTGCTCTGTAACTAGTAAAGATTAATGTATATTTCTCTTGCTAATTCTTTCCAATTACCAGGCTGATATTAATTCCCCCGCTTTGTTAATTATACCCAAGCACAGTGGGTAATTTTGAGGCATATTTCCAGAACAGGGGATTTGAACTGAATAACCTTGGCCTCCAGAAAGTAGTCCCGACAGACCGAGCCCCCTGACCGAGTCCATTCGTTTCCAGATAAAGCCTAATTGCTGCAGACTAGCTGCCACAGGTACGTTGGCTATCCTGCACCCAAGGCATGTGCGTTCTTCTCAGAACAAATACGAAAAGATTAATCGTTTGTTTTCTTTCTGTCTCTGGAGAAATGCAACTGCTTAATCAAGAAAAAATAATTTATTTTCCTTTCTCTGTGTTTTTTTTCTTTATTTATGTAGGAAGTACGGTAGATGGGTTTGGTCACTGAGAAATATTTCTAGCTTTCTATAACTGCAGTGAAATAAATGTATGCCGGCACTGGGATTAATTGGCAGTGTTTACATTCCTCATAGTAAGTAATTTGGTGGCGGTATTTTTTTTTTATTTTGTTATTCAGACTAATATGGTGAGGTTATATCCCCATCTGTATAACCTGTACCTGGAGAAAATCCAATCAAACAGACAATAGTAAAGAAAGGAGAGGTGAAAAAGCGCTTTTTGCAAATTGCCCTTAATTACTTGAACACAATGTGAAGTAAACATTGTTTCCAATTATAGGACTTGCCCAAAGCAAGCACCATTAATTCTCTCTTTTTTCCCGATCTGATAAATAAGCTATCAGAGGAGAACCGAGTCATTGGAAGCAATTAGTTCCAAAAGCATTGCAACAAGGAAACTGCTGTAGTAGCTAATGTGTGCAAATTGTGTGAAAATAGCAAAACAAATCTTTTTTAGATGTTTAACTCACACATGGTACAGACTAAATGCAAAAATGCAATAAGTTTGTGGACACAAGCATTACACCTACATTATATGATCAGAGGTATGTGGATACCCCTCCAAACTGAATGCAGGCATTTCCAGTAAAAGGGTACAATTAATTCTATGGATTAAAAAGATATTTTAAACAATAAAGCTGGTCATAGAGTGGTTCCTATGTCCACACAAACGCAAGGTGTGAGGGCAAGTATTCCAGTATGTCCCTTCGACAGCAGTTGACCATTTGAGGGCCACACAGTGATCAAACCTTTTTCAAGATATCTGGTCATGAGTGAAAAATGGAGGCTGCCATTACTGACTTCTCCTTCTGAAAAATTATAATTACCTGGCTGTCATGCTACACCCTGATTAGATTGAGGCAGTGACCAAAAACCAGCATATTGATAAAGATCTTCCTCATCTGTTAGAGTTTGGTTTCTAAAAAGTTTGGAAGCCAGTGGATCAGCACAACAGCTAGGAAGCTAGTATTCAGCCCCATATCTTTCTTTTAAGGGAGCAAGTGTGCCCCTGTGTGAGGGCCGCATTTGCCCACACGGGATGCACAAGTGTTCTATGCGTCCACATGCAGGAAGTCCCATTCATGTCTATTGGGACACAATAGCTGCTTCCTCCCAATCTGACATCAGTGTCCCCATACGCAGATAACGCATTGTGCTTTCCTGTGCAATTCACATGCAGTTTTGTGCAATGCGATTTAAGCCCATTTATTTTGAATGAGCTGAAATCACACCACACCACGTGTGCATGCACTACTTTTGGAAACTCACTGCAAACACCTCCCATGGTACTTCTGTACCTTGTGATCTGGTGCGGGCAAACACACTGCTTTTGGGGTGTCATTAACTTAATATTGACACTTGGTGCAGATTGCAACTGCAGTGCGTTTTGGACACTTTGCTGGAACCATGCACGGAATGCAGGTTTCCGCGTTCTGCTGTGAACCGACCGGCCTTAAGGGGAAAATTCACTGAGGCATAAGGGAAGTGAAAATTTACTTGAAATAGAAAAGTTGATCTTGTGGCTAGAGGCTACAGAAGGATTTGACATCCTTTTAACTTTTTTTTTTTGTGTATGGTAAGCTTAATACTCTGGAAATTGAGTACATATTTAGGGCACAGAGCTTGCAGCATAGGATGTGTCTGTTCTGCAATATGGATCATATACCTTGGCTGTCATACAGAGCAATTATCAGATCTCATAACTCTCTCAAAATGGCTGCCCATATAGTTTTGGATCTTCCCCCAAGTTTAATAGTTCCAAGGCTGTTCACTCTGTAAATTGGAACCTTTTAAATACAGTTAGGTCCATATATATTTGGATACAGGCACAATTTTTGTTTTTTTTTTCAGGTATTGACCAAAACCTATTCAAGATATAGTTAAATAATGGTAATGGGCTGAAAGTGCACACTCTCAGGTTTAATTTGAGGGTATGTACATTCAAATTGGAGGAAGGGTTTAGGAAATACAGCTCTTTAAAGAGTAGCCATCCCCCCTCTTTTATTGGACAATTGAATCAAAAGCTGTTTCATGGCCAGGTGTGGGCTATTCCTTCGTTATTTCTTCATCGGTTAAGCAGGGAAAAGGTCTGGAGTTGATGCTAAGTGTGGTATTTATATTTGGAATTTTTTGCTGTGATCCTACATCATGCATTCAGAGGAACTGTCCATGCAAG